AGGGAAAGAAAAATATCTAATTCCTTGAAAAGGAGAATGGTGCGTTGTTTGCTAATGAATATGATTGAAAAAAAAAAGATTAAATATTTAAATTAATATCATATTATTAGCATGTTCGGCTATGAGACGAGCATTAAAATATAATACTACTATATATCGTTTTATATTTTTAATAAATAAGGGGACATTAATCGATGGATCTTTGATGAAAAGTCAAAGCTCAGTATTCGAACACACCAAATGTGTCGGTGGCCAGACATTGTTGTTTTCCCTACGAGACAACAAAAGCCGAATTGGTTCCTCCTCCCACTGTTGCAAGAACGCACAAAAACCTTCCGTGGCCAAATTTACGTCTCCAAATATTTTTATACAGCGTATAATATTTGTATGCAGTGTAAGAATTTTATTTATCATATGATAATAAAATTTCCCACGAGATTAGTTGGATAAATAACTAAATAAAAGACTGTCATGCAACTTAATTGTTGTTTATGACATACTTTACCAAACTACAGCTGCGAGGATATATAGTTTTATGACATGGCGTGACTGGCGACATTGTCAAGAATCTAATCAATCAAGTGAAAAAGATTTGTTTTTTCCGCTTGTGAGAAAAAAAAAGTTGTGTTCATTCTGCTGTATATATATATATACACACACACTGGACCCTTGACAGAAAGCGAATTTAATGAACAGGTGTTAATGTGAGATGCTTTGAACTATCTCGAAGATAAATCGTCTGGGATGAGGTGAATGCTTCTGCATTTAATCCAAAGGGAGGGGGAAAAAAGAAGATCGAAAGTGGAAGGAGGAGTGAAGAGAGAGAAAGAACATGTGATGTGACTCTGGGTTCTTTGATTCTTTGGGGATTTTGTGGTTCTGCTTGCTTCTTCCGCGTCATTTTCCGACAACCTGTGATCGTTTTCGGCTGTTTCCTTTCTGGGTTTCGGTCGAAGCTTGCAACTTCCCCAGAAACTGGATCTGGGTTTCACTGATTTTTCCTAAAGGATGAATCTTCACGAGAAGGGCGGTGTTATCGTTGCCCAGATGCTGAGAAGATCAACTCTCGCGGTGTTCTTCGTCTCCTTATTTCCAGTTCTATTTACTGATTTAAGCCACGCTTCTTCTTCTACGTCATCTGTAAGTTGCAATTTTTTCCCCCATCTTACTGAGAATCTTTTGGTTTGATTTGGACAACGACGAGTTTTTGGTAAAAACTCGTTTGCCCTGGAAAGGTCACTTGACTATGGATTCTGATGTCAGAAAATGGTATGTTGCTTTGCCTGTCGGAGACACCTCCTCGAATCATAATTCCATTATTAGAAAAAATGGATAATCTGGTTGATACTGGGACTCCTCTTTGCCGTTTGTTTGTGTTTCCGATTTGTTAAAATCAGGAATCTGGGTTCAGTTCGATTTCCTCTGGGTCCTCTACATTGAACTGGATAATTAAGTTAATCGCCAAATTTGATAACTTTCTTAGAGATTAGAAATGCAATTAACTAGAATTGACTTGGACTGGCAAATGATTTAGGGATTATTCAGGTCAGAATCTATTCAACTTATCCTTAGTCAAGTGAACTTTCAGGGTAGAGATTATTGTTTGATGAAATCTGCAATTTCTTGCAGGAATGGAGCATTGTGAAGCCTAGGCACTTATCTCTGCTCAAGAGTGCATTACAACGTGTAAGATGATTTTTCTCGTGGCTCTCTTCTTCTAATCGTGTCTTTTCCGATTATCGAACTGAGAATCATTGAGCTTTCGGGGTGTTTGATTCAGCCGGGTGGAGAACAGTCTGACCTTTGGAGGCCCTTGACCGATCAGGGATGGAAACCTTGCATTGATTCAGGAAATGCCCCTTGTAAGTTACGATGATGAATATTTTCCGGTGCATACTCTCGTGTTTTTTGTTAATAATACACTGAACTTTATCGGATATTCTTCTTCGGCGCAGCATTACCAGAGAAATCAGAGGGCTACATCCAGGTGTTTCTTGATGGAGGTCTGAATCAGCAACGGATGGGGGTAAAGTTTCTTTATGGTTTTCGCTCGGTATCTACTCAGCAACAATACAATGCCACGCTTGAACGTCCGGTTTTAATCTTTTCACAGATATGCGATGCAGTTGCTGTCGCTAAGATACTAAACGCCACTCTCGTAATCCCGTTTCTTGAAGTGAATTCTGTTTGGCAAGATTCCAGGTCATGTTTCTCTGAGAAATTCATTCTCATGCTATGCCGATTTTTAAAGCCCTTGAGATCATTCCGGAGGTTCTAAGCTGAACTTCCCTTTATTTTTTCCTTCATGGGCACAGTTCGTTTGTGGAGATCTTTGATGTGGATCACTTCATTGATGAATTAAAGAATGATGTAAGAATAGTCAAAGAACTGCCTGAAGAATTCTCATGGAGCACAAGAGAGTACTATGCCACAGCAATCCGTGAAACCCGAGTTAAGACCGCTCCTGTTCATGCTTCTTCCAACTGGTATCTCGAGAACGTTTTGCCTCTTCTCCAAAGGTCCGTCCTTTTAAGCTGACATATCACGAGAAGAATGCATGCATGAGTTCTAACTCTCAAACAATATAATGCCGGTTTTGGTATCTGATGGTGTAGTTTCGGGATAGCTGCTATTTCTCCGTTCTCACACCGTCTATCTTTTGACCACTTGCCTGCGGAGATCCAATGGCTGAGATGCAAAGTTAATTTCCGAGCATTGCGTTTTGTCCCCCACATTAGACAACTCGGTGAGGCTCTTGTCACTCGTCTTAGAAACCCCTCATGGAGAGACAAAGAAGAGGATGTGGATCATTTGAGAGACATGAGCAACCCCCACAAAAGACAAGAGCCCGGGAAGTTCGTTGTTCTTCACCTCCGGTTTGACAAGGTTTCGTCATTATCTGTCTAATATCTCGAGATCAGATTCGAGAAGAAGGTTCTTGTCTGATCTTTGTCGTCTGGGTTTTGGGTTTCAGGATATGGCAGCACACTCGGCCTGCGATTTTGGTGGGGGGAAGGCGGAGAAACTGGCGTTGGCCAAATACCGGCAAATGATATGGCAAGGAAGAGTCCTAAACTCGCAGTTCACAGACGAAGAGCTGAGGAGCCAAGGACGTTGTCCATTGACACCAGAAGAGATGGGCCTTCTTCTTGCTGCTCTTGGCTTCGACAACTCTACCCGTCTCTATCTTGCTTCCCACAAGGTCTCCTTCTTCCCTCATGTTTTGGCCCCGAGGCTTTTGATTAAGTTATTCCTTCTCCATCCCGGGATTTGATCGATCTTGTTTGTTAGGTATACGGAGGGGAAGCTAGGGTTTCAGCGCTGAGACAAGTGTTTCCAAGAATGGAAGACAAGAGAAGTCTCGCCTCTTCGGAGGAGAGAGCTCGTATCAAAGGAAAAGCTTCTCTGTTGGCTGCGGTCGATTACTACGTGAGCATGCACAGTGACATCTTCATCTCTGCATCTCCAGGGAACATGCACAATGCCCTTGTAAGCATAATATCTATACACACACACTCTCTCTCTCTCTTTCCATGTCAAGAAATGATGGCAGGAGGCCTCTGTAAATAATGCAGGTGGGTCATAGGACATTCGAGAACATGAAGACGGTAAGGCCAAACATGGCGCTGATAGAACAGCTGTTCCTCAGGAAAAACATCACGTGGATGGAGTTCCAGCAGGCGGTGGGAGAAGGGCATGTGAACAGGCAAGGCCAGATCCGTTTAAGGAAGCCCAAGCAGTCCTTGTACACTTACCCTGCTCCCGATTGCATGTGTCATGTCTGATTCCGCTACTGCTTCTTCTCTCCGGTTTTGGTCAGAATCCCCATTCCTTTCCATGGTTGCGGCTGAACAATATATACATATATATATATATATAGCACATGATAGCGATGAGGAGGAAAAATAATATCTTCGTGCGTTCATAGCAGTTGTTGACTGCATGCCGGTGTAGCAGAGGGAGAGAGAGAGAGAGAGAGAGAGAGAGAGAGAGAGAGAGAGAGAGATTGAGATTGGTGCTCATGATTTTGAGTTGCGATTAGGTTCCTATCTCTTATTGGCCGATGCCCATGAATTCATCTGACTATACTTATTTGTATCGATATGGTCAGTATTGATTTCTTTATTTATAAAGATCAAACACAATGAGTGATCGGATAATCACATTCACCATGCCACTTCAACTGTTGTTTCGGTTTTCAAATGTTTTTTTTTTATTTCCCTCTTTTGTATTACATTGAAATTAGGGGTATTCGGTTCAAGTTTGGATCGAGAATAATTTGATTTGGTTTTTTCGGTTCTATAAAAATATGTACCAATCGGTTATTATAATATATTCGGTTCGGTTTCGGTTTCGATTTTTATTAAGAAAAATTTTAGATTTTTGTAAGAATTTTTCTTTTTTTAAAAAAAATTCGGTTCGGTCCGATTTCCAAAAAATTAAATTTTGTAAGAAAAATTAACGTTCAGACAATTTTGAATGGTTCAATTAAAAAATGGTACCACATTTTTCGGTATTTAGATGCGTTAGATGTAATACACATATATGTAGAATAATATGGGAGATTTTGTTTTTGTCTCTATCTAAAAACAGATACAGAGCTTACCACAATAAAATCAGATATAGAGACAAAAAAATTTTAAAAAAAAAAACGGCAGGACATGAATTGGTTTTTGTCCAACAATGTGAATCTAACATTCGATTAGTTGGGAGAATTAATATGTCGTTAGCACAAAACTTGATGAGGTTATATACATGCACACGTGTATCTGTGTATGTAAAACTTGTTCTGTCATGAGCTGCAGATTTAATAAATCGTATGGTCCCAATACAAAAGATTTAATTAACGTTTTTGGTTAAAGCGAATAAACCCTATGAAATCATATTACCAAAAAGCCAATATGGGGAAAGACGCTTGCATGCGACATTGCATATGCATGTATATGTGTGTACTTTGGTTTATTAGCCCCCTCCCTTCCTTAAATGGTCACATGCGTTCATTCCCCTTAACGTATTCATTTTTAATTTTAAAATTATAGAATATTCTTGGATAATTTGTATCTGTAAGTCCTATGGAATAATGTACATGAACATGTTATTATAGAATTCATCAGATTAATCAAACCGTTCTCATCCGTTGGATTGATTGGTAACGCAAAAATAAATAAATATAAAAGGAAAAAGAAAAAACAGAACAGAGGGGGTTACAAATGGAGAGAAGTCGAGCCCCGAGGAGTCGGACAGAAGTCAGGGGAGGGAGGAGAGGGAGTGACTAGTGAGGAAGAAGAAGAAACGAATTCTAGGGTTTCTTGGGTCGATTCCCCTGGAAATTACCTGTGGTTTTTCACTGGGAAATTCTTCCGCAACGTTTTGCCTATCTTTTCGCCGAGTTTTCCGGCGAAACGGTTCCGTGTTTCACCGGCGGTGATAGGGTCATCAATGGCGGCGGCGTGACCCTTCCTTGTCTACGGAGCTTCTCGTTTCTTCGCGAAAGGTTCATCCTTTTCGCTCTCTCAGTTTTTCCATTTTTCCGCGACCTTGCTTGGACGATCTGGAGAAGCCTTCTACTTCCCACGAGATTCTGCACGGTCATGCCTAGGTTTTAGCTTGAAATTTGTCTAACTGAAATCGAACGAATCCGAAATTTTTCCGACGAAAAGGGAAAAGGCGTTTTCTCTTTCTGGGCAATTTTCGTACTTGATCAAGTTCTGGATTGTCTTTCAATGTTGATTAAACACAGATTTGCTCGATCGTAATTATCTACTTGCCTTAAATATAACCTTTTTTTTGCTTGTTTGGTCGTGTCATTATGATGCCATTATGATGGTTACATGACATGATAGCCCCCTAATACGTACGGAGCTTCTCGTTTCTTCGCGAAAGGTTCATCCTTTTCGCTCTCTCAGTTTTTCCATTTTTCCGCGACCTTGCTTGGACGATCTGGAGAAGCCTTCTACTTCCCACGAGATTCTGCACGGTCATGCCTAGGTTTTAGCTTGAAATTTGTCTAACTGAAATCGAACGAATCCGAAATTTTTCCGACGAAAAGGGAAAAGGCGTTTTCTCTTTCTGGGCAATTTTCGTACTTGATCAAGTTCTGGATTGTCTTTCAATGTTGATTAAACACAGATTTGCTCGATCGTAATTATCTACTTGCCTTAAATATAACCTTTTTTTTGCTTGTTTGGTCGTGTCATTATGATGCCATTATGATGGTTACATGACATGATAGCCCCATAATACGATGGTTATTTACTGCAACAGGTTTCAAGAGATAAATATCGGCTCCGCTCTTCCCCAACGATGGCGGATTCATAGATCTTTCCCAGTTCTCTGAGGACGAAACCGAACAAGATGGCGGTCACTTTCCCTCGTCTTCCGAGGTGGTTGTGCGGTGGTGGTAGCAGCAAGGGCAGAGAGAAAGAGCCAATCTCTGAAGGGTCTTCCCAACATCCATCGTCGGCGCCTGTGAAATGCCCTCCTAAGGAGACTAAGGCTTCAGCGAAGAAGGTGAGAAAAGGGTGGCTTGGGAGAGAGGAGGAAAAGATTGGGAATGCAGTGTTCCCTGAACCGGACGAACCAGAGTGGTCAATAGGGTGGGTAGAGCCACATGGGCCGGGTTTCAAAGCCACCGACGATGAGGAAGACGATGGAGACAGTGGGTTCGTGGTGTTGGTTCCGTGCTACAAGAAAGCGATGAATGGTTCAGACAACCAGATTCTGGGTGTTACCAATGATCTCCCAAATGTGTTCTCTCCTGGTATGTTATGTTTCCGTCATCCTCTGTACTGGTGTTGGTGTGATTTGAATGACTGAATGCTGCTGACTCTGTCCTCCAGTCTGTTTGGAAGGAATTAATGCCTTTGATCTAGTAGTTGGGAATAGCCTGATTTTGGAAACTAAACCACTTAAAAAGGTTAAGCCTTTAGTTGTAGATAGAACCCCAAAACGATTCAAAACCCACAGTAATTCATTGGGTTGGATAAACTTTGCCGTTCTTAATTCTGATGAGACACGAACATGCAGATGGGAAGAACATGGAGAAGTGGCTGTCGTCCATGCGGAAGCTGTTGTGATGGATGGATGGTCCTTCAGACACAACTGGACTTTCCCCCTTTCTGTTGTTTGCTTGTTCTTGTGCGTGAATGGCGAATGCTGACATCACAAGAAGCTCCTCGTTGATTGATTCCACCGTTTTCAGAAATGTGAAGATGATCATAGGTTGTCAAATTTGCCATGGTGGGTTTTTGCAGAGCGGAAAGTGAAGAAAATTGGGTTTTTCCCAGTTTCAAAAAACAAAGTGTTCTTTCTGTTCTGTGGATGTGTACAGAAAGCTTACCTGTGTTTCAGCGATTCAGATCCCAGGTTGCATGCTCTTCTATAATACTACGTGTTCCTTTCTTTTGCTTTTGTCGGCTATGGCTTTAACATTACAAGAAATTGCCGAAAGGATTAATCTGATAATGAATGCATAAAATTTGCGGATAACATTTGCGGCTGGTAAATGGTAATCTGGGAGAAGAGAGGAGAGGAGATCTTGGAGAAGATAAGTGAGCACGAAGTGACCCTCTGAACGAGATAGAGGCTTCCAAAGGCTAATGACAACCAATTATTGGTCCCCTCGTGTCTAATCCCGAAACTGCCCTTTTCAGGGCACCTTTTTTTTAGTTGGGTTAAACTCTAAATCCCAATTGGTTTCGTTCTCCTCTCCTAGATGTGTTACGGCCACCAACCACCGTTAACGCGGTGCCGCCGCCGATCGCCGGACGGTGAGGAGGAATCGATCGTGGAGGATCTTCGGGACCGTCTCGCTGAGACGGAGGCTCGGTTGCGGCGATCGAGGGCGAGGGAGGCGGAGCTTAGCCGTCGGCTGGATGAGATGAAGCGGTTCGTATCCGTCATGGAGATCCTCGAGACTTACCTGAAGCGGCGGTTCCAGGAGCAGAAAGATCGCTTCGCTCGTCTTTTCTCCTCGATTCCGGCGAAATAGGATGTTGCTGGTTCTGTTCGTGTTGCCTGTCACTCTTTGTCGTTTTGGATAGTGTTTCGGTTTGTGAATCTCAGCACCAATGTCAAGGTGATACGGAAAAATTCTGGTCATACATAGGGGCACAATTCGTGAAAAGCTCTAGCTTGCTTAAGTTCGTGGAGAATCGAGCGAAATGAAAAAAAGCTTTGTGCTTTTCCTTGAAAGAAATGCTTTTTTTATATGTAGATTTGATCATCACTTCATGAATCGGAGTATGTAGCATTTGTTTACCATTCTAAATGTGTTCTTTCCATGTTCGCGTGTTTCTTAATCATGTTTGTTAACGGTGTACAGTGAACATGTAAACGAGCTGAGTGCTGAGTATTCTTGACGGTGATCAAGGATTGACACTGGTTGCCGAGTGCTGAATCCGATGCCTTACATTCGATCATCTGAGAAAGTGAAATCAGATTGAGAATGGGAGAAATATATAACTAGGGGGAGGAAGCTCTTGCTGCTCGTTTCCTATGCCAGTCTTGGATGAGAGAACGCAGGGTGTGGTTTGGGGTGAGGAACTGATGTTCCAGTCTCAGATTCGTCATGGGCGACCTACAATTCCCCATCTTCAGCCACTCCTCTATTGCTTCTTGCTCGTACGAAAACCCGTCAGCTGCTAAATGCGGGTTCTTCATTACTTCCTGCAAGAAAGATTTTACCCGAGACGGGAGTTTTTACTTGTGCACATGCCAATTCCAGAGGGGCATTTCGGAGTGGTGACTTGCCTGAAATATAGGGCAGAGGAAAACACTCGGTACATCATTTGGATCTTCCTCGTCGATGTTTCCATTGGTTGCTTCCTCGTACTTTCCTCTGACCTGAAACTCATCTGCCCTTTGCCTTATCTTCCCCAACTCTGCCATTACCGTTCCGATTCCCAGATCCATGTTCCCTCCCCTGTTTACCGACATACACATCATCGCCAATGCAGCAACCTCCTTTGCCAACTCTAACGGCCACTTACCCGCCATCTCATCCAAATCTCTGAGAACATCTGTTTGGTTCATCGTCATCGCCTTGAGCAAACCAGGCCAGTTCCTCCCTATCAGGAGATGCAGGAGCAAAATCCCGAAAGCCCTGATATCTGGTTTCTTATCAGATTGTTGATCACTGTGCAGGGTAAGTCCAAATACACTTATTTTCGGCACGAGGTTGCGGTCCAGGAGGATTTTGGAAGGTGTGAGATGGCCGTGGACGATGGGTTTGGGCTTGGTCGAGTGGAGAAACCCTAAACCGGAACAAACCTGGTGAGCTATCCGAATTCTGTCGTGCCATCTAAGTATCCCTCTTTGTCTCGATGACCTCTTCTGTGATATGAATAGGCTGTCCCTCAAGTTCCCACCATGCATATACTCAAAGAGTATGCATTTAGGCTCCGAGCAGAAACCAGCGATGGCTACCAAATGAGGATGTCTGATCTCATTCAAAAGCTCCACCTGTTATGACCCATAAACAACAACCACTCAAAAAAACCATTTTTTTGCTCTGTAGAGACGGGAATCTACTTTGTCTCTCTACCTTAGATAGAAAGTCCTGATCAGACAAGCAGTCACTGGTCATTTTGACAGCCATAGTTGTATGGTTGATCCTTCCCCTGTACACCCTCCTCCAGTTTCCGCCGGATTTCAGCCTCCACCGGTCAGAAAAATCATCGGTGGCCAGCCTAACATCCTCTGCCGCATATTCCCTGTAACTCAACCTCGAAACTAAACCTATAGCCTCTCTCTCCTTGCAGAATTCGATCCTACGATTGAATATATCCCTCTGATGCCTCGATTTCTCCATCTCTCTTACCGTTTCGTTTCTTTGCGAGACAACCTTCTCCAGCCGAGTCTCCGCCTCTGATTTAGCTGTCGTAACAGTACTAAGCTTGCTCGAGAGCTCTCGCTGGAGCTTCCCAAGTGAACTTAGCTTCGCCTTTTCCTCTTGAACATCTCTGATGACTTCATCGAGCAGCTCTTTCTCCGTCTCGAGAATTTCATCGATCTTTACTCGCCTTTCGCTTTCCTCCTGAACCTGGGTTTCTAGTTCTTGAATCTGTTGAACACAAAGACAGGAACCTAAGGTCAGATTTCGGATGTTGTCTTTTTCAATGACTTTGTTTGATGAAGTTGTACTCTGCAGCTGCACAAAGAGATTGCCCGTTCAGCTTTGGCGTATCTTTCAGCGTTGGCTTTGGCCTCTCTCTTGTTCTGCTCTATCATCTCCTGAGCTTCCTTTGCTTTTCTCTTCACATATTTCATCTTCTCTCCTGCGTTCTAACGTTTCCGTACAAAATGTTCCATCGGCTTTAATAACACTACATCTCCACAAAACTTTTATACAAATATAAATTGATTTAATCAAATACGAAATCTTTCACACCAAAAAGATTTTTTTATATATACAAATTGGTTTCAGTTATATTTTGGTTTTGGAAAAAAAAAAAAAAAACTCATTTGATTTGTACATCATTTTTGGATTTGATTCGGATTCTTTGAAAACAAAATATATTGGTTTTTAAATAAAAAAAATCATTTTTCAATTATTTTTATATTTTATATTATTTTTGTATTTGATTAGCTAGGATATTACTAAAAAAATGTAATTATAATCATGATTGGTTAGTGTTGTTGTTATTATGATATAATACTACTAAATTGTAATAATATTACGTGATAGCCATATTAAAATAAATGGAAAAGAAAAGGTCTTACCATACGTTGTAGCGCGTCTAACTCCACGTCACCGTCTTCCTCTTCAACAAAGTTATTGCCATCTGTGTCGTCATCTACATTTAAACTTAGTAATTGGTGGTAATAATCATCTGTTTCTCTCGAATTTTTATCCCATGGATTCTCGCTGTCCATTGGATCCTCACCGACGGAGGATGAACGGTCCAGATTTCTTGTCGGGTCATGGAACATCTTACCAAACCAGTTTCTCGTGTTGTTGCCATCGTCGTCTCTCCTCAAAGCCACCATTTTTCCTCCGCATATTATGTGAAATTCGCAGAATTCGGGTTTGTGTCGATAAACGTAGAAGGATCCGCTTATCGCACTCTTCGCTTTCCTACATTTTCCGGGTTTCAGAAACATCCGGGGCCAATTTGTAAACAAAACGAAAGTTAAGAGGTAGAACTATAATTAATACCAGGATGAGGATCTCATGAAGGTGATTCCCATCACGAGTTTGGTGATTTTAAGCTTGGAGATGAGATCTAAGATGAGCACTTGGATCGGGTCGTCTTGCATTTCAACCTTGAGTGTCTCTGCTTTCACCTGTAAAGTATTTTCAGAAATTATACTTTTGGACCGTGAAAAATGATTTACTCTATTGATGACCCCGGAAGAATGGAGATCGAAGCAACAAGAGACCTTGCCGCAGAAAGCAACGTATTTGGATAATAACTTGTCGACCTTCTCTTCCTCGTATTTCCTGAGAACTTGAAGCTTCTCCTCGCTGACAGAGCTTGCCGGAAGCTTCCCAACTGGTTTTTAAGGTTTAACCGCAAACCAAGAACACGACCAGATTATGCCATTACCAACCGGTTTAAAGGTTTCTTCTGATCGTATATTGGAAATCGATCATATAGTTGTTTTCCCTTAATTATGGACACGTAACTAGAGAAACTCGAGTTAAAGACACAAACCCATGAAAAAGTTTGGAGTGTACGTATATGATGGTGGTATGTGCATGGACCCATGAATATAATTGTGGGAAAACATGCAGAAACAAATGTAAGCATGTGCATAGGGGTAAGTCATGAGATGGGAATATAAAAGAAAGCATACAAGGGGTGTAAACGAGATCATTGGAGAGGTTGGAGATATGGAGGATGACAATGGAAATATTGATTGGATCCCACTTCTTGAGGGCCCAATCAATGGTCTTGAAACCATCTTCCACACCGTTTCCTACTGCGACATACACTTTCTCCACTCTATCTCCATTATCGTTCCCTTCCATCTTTCTCCTTTTTTGGTTGGATGTGTGGTTCTTGAGATGCCCAAGAAAGAATCACTTCGATCAGGAACATGACCAATTGACCATTGACTTTTCTTCGTCTGTCTAAATCTTTGACTACGTAAACCCTCGACTCTTTTTCCTGGGAAATTTGATTGAGAAGACGGCTTTTTTTTTTTTTGAGGGAGATTTTATCAAAGGTTAATTTTTCTACTTTCCTTTTTTATTATATGGGAACATATTTAAGGTAGGAAAATTATATATTAATTTAAAAACGATTATTATCGATCAGTGGTTTTTTCTTGCGCACAAAAGAAAAAGTATTAATCCTTCATGTTTTACAATAACTGCGTCATTATATATATATATATATATATGCGTGTATGTGTTTTTATTCGCATTAAAAATGTCAATGTCAGAAAAAAAAAGGACACATCAAACGGAGAAAAAATCTAACGACCTGTTGGCGTGTAACATGCGAAACGATGATGTCGAGGTTTTGTTTGTTCCCGTCTAAATTCTCTGTTTTGTCTTTCTATTCTCTCTCTTTTTACATTTTGCCTTCCTGATATTATAATTTTTTATTATTGTTATGGCATGTAATGTATTTATTTTTTGTACATTCAAGTGCGGATATATATTACGGTGCAAAACAAACAAATATTCAGATTTATAGAAGTTACAGCTTATATTTTGAATCGAAACCAAAAAAAAATCCAGATTCCTATAATTATATTCCAACATATTAACAAAATTTGTGGATACATGAATCATAATTATATAATGATAAGTGAGTGTGGCAGCACGCATATTCATGAAGACGACTCAATAGTTTTTCTTGTCTTAGTTTCAATTATACAATATATATATATATATATATGATACGATTCGTGCCACCTCAGCATTAACAATTAGAACGACCCAAGTTTGGCTGATCTAGTGGTGAGAGAACATGCAAAATATGCTCTCATCCTGGGTTCAAATCCAAGCGTGGGGAGAGACATTCACCTGGACTTCTCCGATCCTCTCTGGGAGATGTAGTCGGGTCAAAGACCCGGTGAACTTCCGGATTATCCAAAAAAAAAAATTAGAACGTACAAAGAAATGAAAAGGTTGATAATTGAGCTTAAAAAAACATATAAATATATAATTGAATCAATTCAACTTGGTTTTGGGCTTTATAAAGGCCCATTCGTTATCTCCCATTTTACTAATCTGTGTTCGGCCCTTTTGGACTAAATAAATCAAACATTGACTTTAACCAAAAAAACTAAAATTTTACATTTTTATATAAAAACCATAAATTTCCAAACCTTTTAGAGAATATCTCTATTTCACTTGATTTTTTTCCCTTGAAATAAAAGCTTGCACTAGAAATTGATTATTATTTTTTTTAACTTTTGAAATTATGAAATGTGCAATGCGGTACACGCTGGTTACAAATAGGATGACTTCATTCACACATAAAATACAAACTCACAATAAAATATTAGGGCAAAGGTTGTCAACCGACAATAGCTTCAGATCAAAGCATTCCATCCGCGTCGAGACAAATAAGCCACTTTGGATCCGATATCCTCTTCTTCTTTTTTTCTTTTTTTTTGCTTAATATAGACATAAAAATGTCATGTACGCATGCATTTAACTCTGTAAATTTCATTATATATTTTTTTTTATACATTGGGAACCCGACCCCAGCGTAGCCCTTCGGGCTCGCTAACCCCTGGTCACAGCGGTGGCCTATGACGCAGCCTGTGTTACAGTCGGTGGCTCGCTAACCAAGGGGTCACAGCGGTGGCCCTTCGGGCCCGCAGCGCCAAGTAAAACCCAAACCTACACGCACGAGTCTACGACACACGTGTAGGTGAGAATCAGCCGTAGCTGACAGACGACATGTGAGAGTTTAAGGAGGCGGCAGGAGTCGAACCCCCGATTTCATGGTTTTTTTCGCTATGATTCTTAACCAACTCAGCTGGGGTTTCAAATGTATAATCAACTTTCATTAATGATAATAATAATGATAACAATATAACATCAACCATGTTTTCTTTTGAATATTTTATTATTTTCACCATTAAATAAAATAAAAACTAAGTGATTTCGTCAAAGAAAGAAAGAGAAGAAAATAAAACTAACTCGATAGCTACAGACAGCTTGCAGGGTCGCTGGTTATTCCTACTTCCACGGCTGTTTTAGCTGCGCTGTAAAATGTAGACTTTGTCACGGTTCTTTTACATAAATCTTGATTTAACTTATAGTTCTTCTGATTATAATTTTTTTTTATCGAATGTATTTCTTAGGTATGTATGTATGTATGTATGTATATACATGTTATTATTTTTTTACTCCAACCCAAATGGATAAAAAATTAAGCTGTAACCTGTATTTAACTCGAGAAATACAAATTTATCAGTATTAGTTTCGAAAATGCTGTGAAGATTTTGATGTCTTTTTTCATATGCGAATGTAATATTCACATTTCGGTTAATAATTTGGGTTTTATTTGCCATTAATGTTGTTCAAAATTTATGATAGTTTTTTTTTTACATTTGGTTGTTTATATAATACAGACATTCTCTTACAGACCACGAAAACATACATGTTTATGTTCTCATTAATAAAAATCCAAATCCTATTATGTTTGTTATTGGAACTAAGACTAATTAAGTGTCCAAAATCCATGTCAAAACATTTTTCAACGATGTAATTAACATGCTCAATCAAAATTCAAACTAACAAATCATTCAACGACAAAAAACAATTGCCTTTTAGACATTTTGCATTTTTTGTAATCTTAAAATATCCTATTGGCAGAATCATATTTTAATTAATACCAAATATGTGAATTAATGCTAGCATTTAATTTTTGCGGTGCAAGGGTCAAAATATTCTATGTACTTTTACTTTGGCCCCTATAATTTTACCGAATAGTACCAAGCGACAATTTTTTTTTAATGGACACCGGTTAAAAGTTAAATAAAAAAAAGTAATTTTTTTGGGAGAAGAAAAAGAAACAAAGACAAGTTTTAATTAAGGAGATCAAGACAAGGGAAGGGAGATTAAGATAATAGAGAAGAGGACAGGGGTGCACGTGCGTCACCGATATCTTCGACCAAAGACATGATGAATCAAAAGATGCTGCGCACGTGCCTCCTCGGTCAAAGGTCAAAAGCCACTGGTTGCACTTAACACTAGTCATTGGACCTCCCAAATTTTACAATTTAATAAACACATCAATACAAAATAAGGAATTTTTTTTCAAAAAATAAATTAAAAATGAAAACTGGGTATAAGCCAAGATAGGGACGATGATTAGGAGAGCCCTTTTAAGGCATGTTCGTATTATTATCATTCTCACTTTATTCCTTCTATATCTAACGAATCGGGATTTATATTTTATGCTCCTGCTTATAGATATTTTAAATACGATGAATCGTTTCCGATACTGAAGAGTTTTCGGAAATACAGATCCCAAATAAATATTTGTAGTTTTCGATAATATTTTGATTCAATTAACTTTTATTACAATTTTCGATTTTATTTGTAGTTTTCGATAAGATTTTATTTGAGATTGTTTCCATAAAAAAAAATTTCGTAAAGTGATTTATTTAAAATAAATGGGATAATCATATAAAAATACCTGAATTTTTACAAAAATCACACATAAATATCTGAACTATAAAATTATCATATAAATACCTGAACTTTTCATAATTCCTACATAAATATCCAAACTTTTAAATTTTTTCCAAATCAAACACTCATCCGTTAACGTCGTTAAAAGCAACTGCTGACTCATCAAAAAAATTGTTGACTCAGCAAAAAATCCGGTTGACTCAGCAAAAAAACTGCTAACTCAGCAAAAAAATATTATTAAATATCCAAATTTTTATCTACATATATTTAAATTAATATATGCATCTAAATTCACATATACATATATATATATATATATATATATGTATATATTAAAAATAATTTTATTTTTAATATATATGTAACTAATTATAATTAGGAGTTTGTATTTAATTATAATTATATATATTAGTTGTATATGTATATTTTTTATATATAATTAATATATATATTGTAGTTATGTGTATATATGTTTTATTAATTATAAATAATTTTATTTTTAATATATATATATATATATTTGTATATATATATGAATTTATATGTATATATTAATTTAAATATATATAGATAAAAATTTGGATATTTAATAATATTTTTTTTGCTGAATCTATAATTTTTTGTTGAGTCAGCAGGTTTTTTTACTGAGTCAGCAATTACGTTTAACGACGTTAACGGATAAGTGTTTGATTTGGAAAAAATTTTAAAATCTGAGTATTTATGTGGGAGTTATAAAAAATTCAGGTATTTATATGACAATTTTATAGTTCGGATATTTATTTGAGATTTTTGTAAAAATTCGGATATTTTAATGCGATTATCCCAAATAAATCTGTTTTCAATTCTTTTATATTCTATTAAAATATTTTTTTATTTAAAAACGGTCGTATCCACACTAATATTTAAGATTACATTTGTAAAACCTAGTGGCTGCACTTTCTACCAATCTTAATTTTCCAAGTCACATTAACATCGCATTTCCTGTACAAAAAAAAAAGGATATACGAATATTTCTAAAAGGAGGCATATCAACGTGACCATAGATAAAACGAATCATTAATTCATATAATAAGTAATCTCGTATCGACGACACGAACTATGTACTTATAGTGGTTGTGTCGATTCTCTTTCGCATCTCTTTATATATTGGATTCTTTACATGTGATCTTATGGTTATGTAATTTAATTCTCGTTATCGGAAAAATACATCTTTTGCAGTAGTTGTGGGTTCTAACAAACTATTCGAATTAAGATGATTACCGTCTTTTCCGATCCTCCGAAAAATGTATCACGTAAAGTTTTTCCGGTTCTCGGAGATATAATTGGATTGAAAGTACAATGAACTTATAGATTATATAAAAAAAAAGATAAATACGGTTAAATTGTGATCCAAATTTAAATAAAAAAATCGTGTGAACAATATTGATACGTATATACATATTCCCAAACTATTATTATTCTTAACTTAATACAATTAGATAGGTAGATAACGAAGATTCTTTTAAATTCTAATTCCAATATAAAATAAAAATTTATACCATATACGTCATGTTGTTAGATTTGTTTTCTTGTTTTTTCTCTCTTTCAAAAGAGTATAACATTCGATATGGGCAGGTTAAACATGTCCACGTGTGATGGCACATGCAATTAAAGGCTTTGGAAGCAAAGTAAACTATGCGTATTTTATCATTTTTTTATACAAAATATCGCAGAGCTGAGTAAGTATAAGGACAAAACTCTTTTAAGTCCATCGCCCGTGAATAAACAAAAGCCAGTTGATCATTTGAAGATATTGCACAATGCCACGTCAAATATGGAACCCTAACGGGCGGCCACGTCCCATGAAGATCATATTCATATGATCATTTTGGGAATATATATATACATGTTTATTTTCTTTTATTATTTCATATTAGAATTCAGTTTAATATTCATCACCGACTGTAATAAATCCAGACGAGGACACGTATATCGAGGAAACTATACGAGCTCTTCATACGCTTTGCAAACTCAAATGGAGCAAAGCATTTTTTTTGTTGGATAATCCAGAAGTTCATCGGGCCTTTGACTCGACTACATCTTCCAAGGATCGGAGAAGATCATGTGAATATCTCTCTCCACGCTTAGATTTAAACCCAGGATGAGAATATGTTTTGTATATTCTCTGACCACTAGACCATCCAAACTTGGGAAAGCAAAGCATTTTACAAGTTCGTTGTGATGTTTTTTCTTTAATAATTTGCGTCCAAACATAGGGCACTATAACAATAATAAGAACAATATATAATACCAATAATAATAATAATAATTTCCGAAAATCGGGTAAATTGACCGCCACATAGCTAGCGAAAGGTGTATTCCTACATATTTTTATAAAAATCGTTGTCGGTCCAAGAATTGGAAGTAGGATACGATAATACGACAGCACTCCCCAATCACGTGCCTCAATTGCTGGGCCTCTTTTCTATATTTTTTTAAATTTATCGGCACTGTTTTTTTTTAAAACAAGAGGGCACTTGCCTGATGACCTGGCGGGTTGTTCCCCACGAGCCTTTTATTGTTTTTCGTTTACGATTTCTTTAGATAATTTTACGAGTTTTGTTACATTTTATATTTTTTTAACCATTTTTTAGAGTTATAAACAACCAGAGAAATCAAATCAAATCAAATCAAATCAAATAGGCGTTTTAAACGGGCTCGATATTTACCGGGACCTTAACCGTTCCTTTTGACCAAAAAGTTGCAGCTATTATTTGTTATTTTAATTTTAACTTCGCATCCTATTTAGTCTATTACTAATTTACTATTACCCTCTAATCCTTGTTCTTTATTGTAGTTGGGGGGCCATACACCGTTCTCGGGTTTCACCTTGTCTTTATCCCAAAATTAAGATTAATTATAAAAAATATTAAAATACGCGCAACCCAAAATGCTCGTATAGGGTTAACAGATGTTCTAAACACACTTTTGCTGTTGTTGCTGCTCTTTCGCGCAATATAAACATTATTTGTCATCGACACATAACTAGATACGTTATACATATTTGATTTTATACATTGCTGGATATATAGATCATTGACAACTATATATATATATATATGTAAAATTTTAGTCTATTTTATATTAAAAAAATAGTCTATTAGGCGTACAGTTTAAGATGAATGTGTATACCAAATTATATAAATATGTGACAACTCAATATGAATATTGAGGATAGTGTATGATTTATAGCTTATTCCATTTAGCTCTATTTAATTACCAATAACATGACATTTAAAATCCGGCCCCAAAAAATCCGATCACGAGAGAGAGAGAGCAGCGTTTGCATGGAGGACACGTGGAAAAAAGGGTATGTTTGTAAATTCATACTCACTAAGTTAGGTTCTCAGTCTCAGGTTTTCACATATTTCGTCGCCCGGATCTTTTGCAACCTTTGTTGTTAGAACTTGGACCCCCCGCCCCCACAAATCAAAAATATTATTTCTATATTTGAAAATAAAAATAACTTATTCAAAATGATAATCATTCAATAATAACAAATATGACAACTAAGACGATGATTATATCTATGTATACGACATGAGACACATAAATTTTATTGCCTTTCACGGTTATTTCGCATCAAACCTAGAAAAAAAAATGTTCATATTTAGTGCATAACGTTGATATATAGTTTTTTTTTTTTGGTAAAGAACATTGATATATAGTTAGTGTGATGGAATCATTTAATCGGAAGCAAATGTTATTCAATGCATTGCCATAAATGATTCACGTAGATTCTATACATGCAAAGCCGAACCCAACTTTATTTGACTTTCTCTTGGAATCCAACGATTAATGTTGAGTTCCATATTAGTTGATGATCTTACTTGATAGAACTAAATCCGCATGTCATTTCCACCGTATAGTAGTCACAATAAATGCAACATATATTATACTCCAATTTTATGGTAGTCACTCTCATCCAAATTTGAATTCACAAATACTCGTAAATCTAACTGCGGATAATCTAATTTAAAAAAATGGATACCTGAATATTTTTATTATAAGCAAATATATCTCTAGATATTTATAATATTTTAAAAAATAACATTGTTTCGAGTTTCTATAAAAAAAAATATTAAACTCATTTTTTTTATATCTCTTATGAACTCCCTCTATACATTCACGTCGATTCATTCCTTTTAAAATTACGTTTTTTTTGAAATTTTTATAGAAACATTGTTATTTCTTATTAAATAAAATTATCTATGAATATTCAAAAATTGTCTCGAATACTTGTACCCATATATCTATAATCTTTAAATCCGAGTTTGAGTTACCAAATCTTTCAAATACAGATCCAAATACTTTGATATTTGCGGATATAACCAATATATATATATATATGATATATATATTAGTTACACCAAAACGAATGATTTATGTATTCCGCATTAGGCATAAAAAGGAGCGTTGTTTTGAAAATTTACTCGAATTTAATTTATAAAAAAAAGACAAAAGTAAAAGTTAATCTCTCACTATCTCTCTCGCTCTAGAATCCCCTCCGGTTTTACGCCGGTCGACACTGAAGAAACCGCTCTTGCTTTT